CAGCTGAGGACAGCTGGATGAGGACAGGCTGATAGAAGAGAGGCCTGATGTAGCTGCCCGGCACTGAGGAGGTCCCTGATGTTTTATCTGGTTGGACTGTTGAAGACCTACCTGAACAAAGATGATCTCAACTTCGCACTTCAAATGATATATTTGATAAGTAATCCCCAACAATTCCTTTTTAAAGATGTTTAAATATTTAATGGCAATGTAATTTTAAATTCCATCCATCTGAATCATGCCTTCACAACAAATTGTATAGTTCATTAATTTTTGTAAATATAATGTATATAACATTCTTTCTTATATCATTTGTAAATAAACATAATTTGTACATAAAAGTTATTTTAATCATGCCACCTATTGATATCATTATAAGCACAGGTAATGTTTGGTAATTAGAGAACAGATAAACACACAACAAGCCTTTGTGAGAAGTAATCCAATAGATTAATCAAGGACCAATATGTCAAATGACATAAATTGTTTAACCAATATTTTATTAATGAAATATTTATATTAATTAATTCTGGATAATTATCTTCAATATTTATCCAGTGGCATCTCGTTATATAAAAAATCTAACAAAACCCCTTTCGATACGTAGCAATATTAAATTCAAATTGAATCTATGTATATTAAATTAATTTTTTTTCTTTAATTTATCAAGGAAAGAATTATTTTGATATTGGATTTTTCTAAAGATTAATAACTGTAAATCATGAAAAGGTCAAAACAAGTTTTTATAGAGTCGAAATAATTAAAATTCATTCAGTAATTTCACCAGTTAAAAATCATGCCCGAAGTAATTTTGTTTTCAACCGATAATATCACAATATTACAGATTGCATTATATGTGGTGTATTAATTCTGTTTGGATAGACTTATTTAGATGAAAATAAATGTGCTGTGTTGGTGATCTTATAATTTTCTGACGATTTAATTTGCAGAGAATAAGAATAAACCGATAATTTTTCTAGTATTTTTGTGATTTTCACTAAACATAGTTTCATTGAAGCTATAAAATAGTTAGCCAAATATTGTTTATAATTCAGACAATTGTAATGGATTGAAATGATAAGTAAGAAAATATATTATTCAATATTTTAAGAGTATTATATATTTTAACAATATTAATCATTCATAGTTTTAATAGTATAAATATAAACATATCTGTGCCTATTTATAGTCTATATTTATATTGAGAATAGACGTTATATACCATTATCAGTCGTATAATATTATATCTCTGATTGTATTAAAAAAATTGAGCCCTGATGACGACCCACAAGTTTGGGTTGAAACGTCCGCACTAATAAAAACTTTATAATGACTGGGTCCTTAATATTTGTATATATATAAATGTTTATATGTTCATATGTGATTCATATCTTGGATCATTCTCCAATTATAGTTCATCTTTACGGGAAAGGTTTCCATTCTCAAGGTATATTCGGCTTCGCTATCGACCCAGGTAACTTCGAAATAAAGATTCTCTGGCATTTCCGGCGAAGCGTTAAAGCAAGTAGAAGCAATGGAAGGGTTAATTGAATTCCCTTGTCCTTCTAGCAGGGACCCTTCTTATCCCCTGAAGGTTCCAATAAATGTCCGCTGCCCGATCTCAACTTTAAAGAAGAAATCGGATCAAGGGAAAGAAGAATACCAACAACGGAAAGCAATGATGGATGGTCTTTGCCTCATGCGTGTGAACAGATTTTATTTTTTTCATTTCGTCTTTTTTTTTTTCAACCTCTCACGATATCGGACTGATAACCAACAAATGTAATAGAGCAAATCATAATTATAGTATGCTAGGCACAAGGAAGGATAGTACCCAACAGCACCTATTTCTGGTTTTGAATCAGTTTCTAAATTTAGAAGAGATCTTTCATCCAGCTCCTATTTTCGCTTTCTAAAGAAACATTTCAGCCATAAACATATTGCTTATTGTTACGTTTGTGAAGTTTAAATGAAAACGAGAACAAAAAATACGTACATGTCAGTTTTTTTTTGTTGTTGCTAAATTGTACTGTAATATCAAGAAAGAATTAAAAAAACAAGTTAAAACCTTTTATACATCTACCCAGAAAACACTTTTATTCTACTCTACATGTCACAATCACAACGAACAAAGAACTGCTACTCTTAGGGTAACCTCACCCAAGCCAACCTGCTTTGTTTACAATAGCTGAGCAGTGCTACCAGATAACATGCATTAACTCAATACATGTACATCTGTGATTCGTAGGTCCATATGGGATTAAGAAGTAGTTAAGTGTATTTAGTATCTATCTTATATCTAGTTTTTATGATAGAGAAAAATGGAGTGTAGTAATTTAAATCTTGATCTGATTGATTGATATTTGATATATCTTGATTTATTTGATATATCTTGATTGATATTTAAATCTTTAAGGCATTTCTTTTCATTTTGACACATCATCCTTCTGTTGAAGGTTATTCGGAAGTAATATATTGTATCCGTCTAGGAAATGCAATTTTCCACCGGATTACACTCATTTTGTCGAATAGTTAATGTTATGTGCACTGATTTTTGTAGCTATAGCCTTACTCAGAACGTTCGAATGTTTAAAGAATAAATACTTACCTGCCATATTCGTACTCGAACTCAGGCACGTTAAATAAAAGGACTTACTGGACTATCACATACCCCTCGTTACAATCAGTTTCACTCAATTTAATAGCCAATAATAATAATATGAGTTTTTTATAGATCTTAGTCATGTAATGCTGATAGAATTGTTTTACACAAGAACGCAAAACAAAGAATTACTCTTGTTTCATAATAATACAATGGTTATTTGTAAATGGAGATGGTTCCTGTCTTTTACAACTTAACATTTCCGAGAGGTATACAAGATGCATAACTAAGAGGGTAGACGATACACGATTACAACATAGGAAGCACTCATCCGATTTGGGCCTATTGACGGAGAGGGAAGGTAAATACATTATAGCTGCTCCTCCTCCAGTGCTGCCAACCTACGGCAGGTTACCAGCCGATACATTATTCATTGTATCTCTTATGTTTATTACATCCTAACGGAGCTGCAACTTTGTGAAGAAGAATCTCGGCGGGGTAACTTTTATTCCCCCGCCGGCTCTCCTTTGTCGGGAGGAGAAACTTTTCATATTATGGCCCAGGATAGCAATCTCTAAGCTCGGGAAGATTCCGGAGTATGCTAAAGTACCAGGTAGTGAATACTTGAAAAAGTATTCTATTTACGGGCATTCTATTTGGAATAGAGCTATTCTCTGATACGATCGTAGAATGCCTTTGAACAGTGGAAACAAAATATTCTTTATACAATGAATCTTCTTTTAAGGCCTTATTTTACAAAATGTAATTAATGAATTTAGAATGTTGCAATAAGAGTAAAAACTTCGTCGCAGAGAGTTTATTTGTACTTTAGTTAGAGATTTATTAATATAGATGAAAAATTCTCTCAGATCAGGTGTTTTACGCAGTGTGCTCCATAAAGTATTTTCCAAGGTGCTCGAAAAGTGAAGTTCTGACGAGCCTTATAGAATAAAAGTTAGGGAAAGAACAACAAGGCTTCTGATCTAATAATGTGTGGTACTGTTATTTCGGAAGCCATATTGTTCTTTCCATAGCTTTTATTATAAATCCTAACAAGATATAATAATCAGATATTCACGATGAGACAAATATCCGAGATGGTTAAAGAAAAGAACAGAGAGGTTTTGCTTTGATACAGAATATCTGTATAGACCTTAATAAAGCATTCAATAGAGTGCAGAAAAAAGAAATTTCTTGAGCAATGGAAGAGTATGGAGTTCACATAGCACTGGAAAAGGCCATCCTAACTATAGAAGAAATGAAAGAAAACTAAATAAAATGAAACAAAAAAATTACAAAATATAATATAATATAATTATGTTGCAATAAGTTAACAAAATTTCATCATTGAGATCATCTTTCTAAACACGTTTGAACATCATCAAATACCAAGAAATTGAAAAGTAGTAAGACATTTGGATGCTAAATGGACGTAAAAAAACAAACATAAAAAATAATGGCAAAGTATTTCAAAAATAAATAAAGAAATGCACAACAGTTCCAACGAAGTTATTATTGCCACATTCAACTGTAAAAAAAAAAAAAATAATGAATAATGGTATTCAGCTCACTGAATACAGCAGCAAGCACAACTAAAAAAAAATACAAATTTGTACAATTACCTTTCAAACTAGTCGATTTGGCATAGATTAACCATATAATAATAAAATATATAAATAATTAACTTTTTCAAATCCAATAATACATTAAAATTTGTATCCACCACTCCACTCTAATAAATTACTCATTTGTTAATGATATATATATGTAATACCATGAAGGTGAATCACATTTATAAAATTAATATTAATCATTATTTTTTAAAAATATTTGATATTTCATCAAATAATATATTTATTATATTTTTTAATTTAAAATAAATATATTTATTTAAGATCTATTAATTAATGATAATTACTGAAATTCATTTAAGCTATTATTCAGAGCTGAATCTTTTTTCGAGGTTTTATTTCGTAATAGATTACAAAAATTTAATAACTATTTTAGCATTTTTTTATTGTATTTACTTATCTACATTAAAATAATTATATATAAATTATTTAAAATATTAATATTAAAATAAAGCTTCAAATGATATTACATTATGATAAAAAAAAAATATATATTGTATGAAAAGTGGACAACATTGTCAAGTAATAATGCTAGAAAATAAAGGATATTCATATAAGTAAAAAAAAAAAAATAACCTACTGTACAAAGTTTATGATCGATCCGGGAAAAGTAATAAACAAAACGTGCACATCACAAAAATAATTTATTTCAATAACAGATCAATATTAATATTTATCTTTAAAATATATTCAATAAAAAAACAAAACAAAAGAAACATCAAATCATCCTTAGTATTATTCAATTAAGAAACGAACATAAAAAAACCATACAACATCAATATATATATACCTTATTATCTATAAAATACCTAACCTAATGTGTTTCTATAATCTAGTTACAATTAGAAGTTTACGGCCTTTTAGAATGGCAATACAATATATTTATTTATATATTTATTAACATCAGACCGTTGAGGCCAGTGAGGAAGACATAGATACTTGAGTATTATACATATACCTTATTATGTATATATATTTTTTTTTATTTATCTTAAATATATTCATATAGTAATATATTTTTCGCTCTATTTGGTAAAACCCACCAGGTTACATCTAAGCGGTTCAAGGGATCAGTTCGTTAAGCTCAAAATAGTTAACAGCTCGTACAAGGTAAAGCGAGCAGGTTAGTAATACCAATTAAAATATTGGCGAGAATAATATTTTATTATTCATTAAAAATAATATGAATAAAAAAAAATATATTATTAAAGGAGAGCTGAGGATTAGGGGGCTATTCTTGCCATAGAAAGGGAGAGATCGTACTCAACTAACATAAAGTCGCAACACCATTAATTGCCCTCAGTAATCAACACTAACACGAATGAAGCAACAAAACAATTTTTTTTTCAATAGATATAATTTATCTACAAAAAGGATAGAACACCGATGCAACAAAAATCTTCAATCACATGCAATTATTTTTTAGATGTTCTATAAATGTAATTACTGAAATGATAGATAGGAAACTTGTTAATTCTTAGGAAAATTAAATTTTTTTTTTCTTAGAAGAACATTTCATTAATATATTTTATTTTCGAAAAAAATAAGAGAAATAAAATAAAATAAAATATTTTCTTAGTTGCTTTATTAAAGAGACATTTTTCCTCTTTTTGACAGTTTTAAAATAAATTAACGGCATAATTTAGGATTCTTTATTCATTTTTTTTTCAATAAAAATATGTTTAATAACTTTATTAGAATAAGTAATAAATTCACACTACAACAAATTTTGAACCAATGTTACAAGATCGATTAATAATACTAAATATTCCTACCGTATGAAAAACCTTTATTTTTTAGGATTTCTGTCATACATTTATTAGTCTGAAATTATTTTTAAATTACTAAATAATTTATTGGTTGCATATATGTTTACAGTTGTAAATTTCAATAAAATCATTTTTAAAAAAATACTAAATTAAATTGCTTCTAATCCAAATATTTCTGTAAATTTGAAATAGGAAAAATGAACTGGCATGTTTACAACAAAAAATAATTGTATAGATTTATCAGATTAGTCTCAATTTTAATTAAAATAAAATATATTAACATAATGTTTCGTGTTAATTACAAAATTATGTATATATATATATATCGTCTTAAAAATAATAAATTTAAATTCGAAAGCAATGATTACTGAGGGCGTACAATCCTCACCTAATAATAATATCTATTACATGGAAATACGAGAAGGAAAAACACTTAATTTTTTTTTTTTTGGTTAAAGCTCACTATATTTTACCAACCTTATGTACTACGCTTACAATCAAAATACATTTAAATCTATTTTATATTCTATAAAAAGAAAATAAATAAAAAAAATCAACTAACTATTAGTATGGCAGTTTAAACACGCGTTATCGTCTCCTTACGATTTTAAAAATTTCCAACGATTCCGTAACATGTTATTTGAATCTTGCCCGTTAATAGTCTTTATTAATAAAAATATTAATGAATAAATATTTATTAATTTTTTTTTACAATTTTAATTTGCCACTTCAAAAATACTAATAGAAAGTTGTTCAAAACTTTTTCCTGATTAGGATCCCATATAGTTTTATATTTCAAAAATATTTCAAGCGATCGAAAATCTCTCCAGCAAAAAAAAAAAAAAAATTAAACGAGTTAAAGATCTCTGAATATAATAAAAACATGAATAAACTTTATATAAATTTCAAACTGATATGTATAAGATTGCTTTATAATTTTTTAATATATATATTTTTTATTTAAAATTTCAATTTATCAACAGAAGTTGCGATCAATATCAAATACAATGAAAATGACTGAAAGGTATTTAGAAGTTATTAGCAATTGGCTTAAGTTTTGCATTCTGGCTCGTTTATTTTCCTTTATATCGAACATGTTGAAATTGTATCTGTTTAATATTTCCGGTACGATAGAAATTATCTTTTAGACCTCCATATTGAAATAGATGTTATTAAACAATAAAAAATTAACATAGAAAAAATAATTTACTAAACATATAAATTAATAACAATTACTCTTCCATGCTTTCTATTTTTATTAATTTTTAAGAAGATCCACACATACCTGAATCATGCCCTGAAATTTGAACTTTATTTGGAATCGTTATATATTCAAATTTAATTATTATAAAATATTTAAAGATTTTTTCTAGTAAATTCAGCCTCGCCAAGAACGATTTTGTTTAAAGGAAAAAAAAATTAAATTCCTAAGAGAAATTGGATATCTAATTATTGTTATCAAGTTTTAATTTTTTTTGTCTGAAATTAATTATCATAAATAGAAACAAATTCATTCTCACTCACACATCCACAAAAAACACACACGAGTGGATCTATTAAAATTTCAACACATAAGCACACCACTCTATTTACAATTAAACATCGCAAAAGCAGACAAAACACACCAATGAATATAAACTTTTTTTTTAGTTTTAAATCATATTTTATAATTTTTTTGTTTTAATTTTGCTTAAATAAATTCTCTTCATTCTCATTTACTTATTGTTTGATTGTTTACTGATAGTCATGAGAGTGCCTGAGCTTTGTAGAATCGTCTATCCCCTCTTCTAGGAGCACATTAGTAGAAAAAAAATTCATACATCACACATTATGTATATAATTATACATGTATGCTTATTATATACACGGGGGTCCTACGTGCGTTGGTCATATCATTGCTTCATCTAAAGTTACGGGGAACACTTCTACGATCTAATCCAGTTCATCTGAGATAATTGACTCTCACATTTTATCTTCCGTTACATAATATATTTCTTTTCTTTTTTTTTTTTTTTTTGTCTTTTATTGTTATTTAATTTAAAATTTCAATTTTTTAATACAAAAATCACTTTTTTTTTCTTTAAATTTATCTTATACAATTTCAACAAAATAGTTTTAATGGTGGAGTCAAACTCGTCGAATTGTGCACATGGCGTAGTGAAAATCTTATCGATTCTTGGCTTCTTCGGAACGTCGGGTGTTTTTCTTCATAGGTTCTGAAGCAAAATAAAATAATTAAAAAACAACAACAAATATTAATTAATTTAAAAAAATAAAATACATTATATAAAATTGTTTATTAGTTATATAATAGTATTTTTTAATTGTTTTTGTTTTTTTTACAATGTTAATATATTGCCAGTAATTATTAATGTTTGAAATCATCAAGAGTGGTAAATAGAAAAAAATAAAGTAGAATGTAATAGAGATGTAAATAAAATAACAGAATTTAATAAGTCCCCAAATTTCATTAGCTACACATCAAATATCACGGAACCGTACATACTCTTCAAATCCAAGAACACAATTTTTATCTAGCTCTACCCATCCGTACAATATTCCTCGATTCTAGAAACGGCAGTGGTACCGAGACCTTTGGAAAATATATAAGAGTTCCAATGATCAAACTCTCCAAGCTTTTAATACCACCACTCCGTTCAGAGAAAAGCACTGGTATCTCACAGAATCTAGCTTTTCGCTCCACACATAGCCAATATATACTAAACCGTAATACCATACCATGAAATACCAGCGATTAAGTATGCCTATGATTAAGATGTTCATTTTTCCTTATTTAATTTTAAGTTTAATTATAGTTTCTATTATTACTAGGGGTTTAATCTTTGTCCGCCTAACCGCGGACCAACCCCTATTTTACAAATCATACAAATATTCATTTATTTGTACTAATCGTTTCTCAAATTTTATAGCTTTCTTTTAAAATACATTATATATCTCACATTATTGCAAATTTGTATAATTATTATTATTCGTATTGCCAATTTATAACCAAAATACATAATTAACTTGTTCAGCTTCACATAAGCCCAGCATCAATTTGAGCCTTTTATTTATATTATTTTCATTGCACGTTATATTGTGCTTCCTTTTCTATTTCATAATAATTATTATCCATTTATTTTTTTTAATTAATTTTTAATCATTTTCCGTACAAAGTTTTGGTTTAAAATCTTTATTTTAGAGTAATAATCCTATTTGAGATTAAGATATTACGCAAGCTCGATACTTTAACGAAGACACCAGGGTGTAAATTTTATTTTGTATTACGATAGTAGGAGGTTACAGGAACTCAACACACATGTAATTAAATGAACAGCTATATTATTAGTGCTTATTATAGAGCCAATAGGAGAGCTCCTGTAATCTCATACTCTCCTAAAACTAAAATAAAATAAAACATGAAAGTCACTAAAAACTTTTAACTTGAGAGATAATAGGGAGATTTTATTGTATTAAATATGTTGTGAATAAACTTATAACCAATGTTCATCATAGTGGCAGTATGTAATATTACTCAATTAAAGAAAGATAAAGTTAGATTGATAATCACTAACCTGAATTAATAACACCACTTAAGTTTATTTTTTTATAGGATTCCAAATAAATAATTAAATGCTAATTAATGATTATTCAAAGAAAGGTGATTAATTACTTCACGTAAATAGAATAGTGACACTGCAAATAATATTTTATATATCTATTTATGTTAATACTTCGTGTAACTGATTTTTTCTTCATTTTAATAAAAGAAAAAATACTGTTGGATAGTACCACAAATATTGATGTTTATAATAATGATAATATTAATTATTACAGAAGAAAATTAATTTTTTACACACCTAATTGTGTCACTTTTTTTACAAATAAAAAATCTTTATAATAGTATTTTAGATAATATTTTTAATAAATCAGATAAAAATCAGCACATCGTTATATAAAATAATTTTATTGGCTGAATCAAGATTAAAACACTAAACAAAAAGCAGAAAAAAAATTTATTAAAACAAAAAACATACTGTTTTTTTTCGAAATTAGCCTTCCATTGTCTGGAAAAAATGCTCGCTATTCCATACAATAATTCTGGGCTTGATCATACTTTGAAGGGAGTTTTCTCATGCCACACTAAGTCTTAGCCCATTCGATATCTTATTAATCGATAGAAGTACGGCTGAATGAAATTAAGGATTCAATACCGATAGTATTCTGAACATTTGAATGTAACGCAGGCATATATCGTTGGCACCATGAACATGTACATATCTAACAAAACTATAAATTCGTAAAAATTACATTGCTGATTCTGGTCGTCCGGCTCAGATTTAGATTCGACATCTTGCCATAAGGTGTATATGGAATACTGTGTTAAACGAAAAAAAATTAAATATATGATTTTTCACATTCGCTGATTCAACATAGTGCCAACGATATGTATATGAATATGATTTTTATTTATTTTTCTTCATATTTGTTCTAATTAGGTTCACAGGATAATAGCACAAACACAGCTGTAATCAACATATATTAAAACAACATTCATGCCCCTTCTTCATCAATAAAAGCAACACAGGTGCACTAAATGCAACATATTATAACGTGCAATTACTTAGATCAAATTTATTACTTACATCACCTAATACAGTTACAAAGCTGTCACGATAGATTCACAATCTACTTCAAATTTTTGAGCAACGAGACAAAACACTGAGCGACAGACAGAATAAATATAAAATCTTTCTCACCAATACTCACATTGAAGGCTCCAGCTGGCATAGATCAAAGATATCAAGAGCAGGAGGATAGGTAAGTTCTGGCTCTGAGAAGAGCAACTGTTTTCCACCATCGGTTCCGGGGGTGTGTTGGGCAGAACTTCCACTGTAACAGTCAGCAAGTATAGTTAATTAATCCTTGTTACAAAGTAATTAAAGGAGCTTTACATTCCAAATGTAATCATTAATTATAGTCTTAATTAATTACATTGTCTTATATTAAAATATCTCTGTTCGATTACGATAATTTGGTGTGAGCCAATAATAATTTGGTGTGAAATTTACAACTGTATTAGTATAAATACATCAAGTAAGTGTGTACAGAGGAATATAATCACATGAAAACGCTTGTTGAGAAATTACCCATTAGCATCATTTTAATAATATGTTAAGAACATCACGAGGCCATTTTCTTTTCAGACGCCTCGGAGGTTTATCAGGAATCGAAGAGGAAGCAAGGGTAGAAACAAGAGGTTGTGGATGTTTATGAAGTCTATTATGGAAGGATAGGTATCTGGATTAGGCCAAATCGGAAACATAGGGAACATTAAGGTCTTTATGGATTATTTTATTTGTAACAAAGTAAGCAGCATTGAGGATTTTGCAAAGGATTTTGGATTGTAAGGATTGGATGCGAGAGGAATTCGATGTAATGAAGCCCATAGCTCAACTCCGTAAATCCGAATAGGCCTTATTATAGTCATTTATATGAGTCTTTTGTAATTAATTGGATGTTTGGAGCGTTTGTCTACTAAGTGTTGGCGTTTTGGCCAGGGGTATTTCAATTTATTTATTTATTTAGACATATAATAATCTATCTCGTGGACAATAATTATAGTGATATATGAACACATCCTCACCATATATACAGAAAATAAAAAATTAGCAAAAGTAAAATAACAACTAAATAATAATAAAAAACGCTGCAAATTCACAATGGTTTATTATTTCCAAACAATTATACATCTAAAGTAACACTACCTTCCTAGTTCAAAATAAAAATAAATAAAAGGTGATTCCAATTATTGGACTAAACTTTTTTTTTTTAATCATTAGTAATATACTAAAAAAAAAAATAGCATTACTTCAGTAACACATTCAAAATTTAAAAACCAAAGGATATAACATTTGGAGTAGAACATATAAATAAAAAAAACCGGAGACCATGTATCTGCTCCAAATTGTCAGATTTTAACGATTTTTTTTTTTATTATTTAGATATTTTGGTAAATTTAAAAAAAACATAACATAATACCTACAAAAAAGTGTAAACTGTTTGAGTTATTCGGAATTTAATTTTACCATCCCTCGTAACTTTTTTCCCAGCTTCTTTTAGTAGAAGTATGTTATATAGATAAATTTAAAGGGCGTCGAGAAAATAACTTTAGCAAAGTTTCATTAAAATCGGTACTATTAGGAGCTACAGTCTATAGCAACGCAGGTTTTTCGGCCGTCATTTTGAAAGTAAAAGGCGGACAGTAATGTCGATGAAGGAGGATCATCCTCGGGTGACCTCTGATTTTATATCAAAATTAGAAAAAAATCGGTCCAGTAGTTTCGGAGAAAATGCGCGGACCGCGGACGGACAAAAATTTTTTATTCCATTTTCGAATCCTACGCACCGTGAAACGTTAAACCTCAAATTTTGAGAGAGGGTTAAGTTTTTGAATTTTTTAATCGATCACAATGGTTGATTATTGAAATTAATAAACCAAAAAACTATGTACAATAGAAAATAACTGGTGTTAAAGCCAGTTATTAAGTTATTCATATTTCTACTACCAGTTATATAATTAATTGCATTATCTAATGTATAGCTTCAAATATCCTTCTCCTCAGTAAAACTCGACCACTATAAAAATCAAATTATTTTTTTAATATTTTAGAGTGCAGAGCTAATGCAGTGATAAGCTTTTCCCTTTTAACATGGAAAATTTCACCAATATACATCTTCGACCAATGCGCACTTATAATTTCACATACAATACCAGATTGTTGCTGAGTTAATATTTTATCTTTAAAGGGGGCGCAAAACTTGCTCATCCTGTAACTAATTTTCTAGCCAATTTAACATTATAGACACCAAATAAAAATTGTTCTCAATTGTTCAGAGAGACACTATACATTTGAAAAAAAAAACATACAATTTTGACCAACGTTTTCTGTAGAGATAAAGCTTGAATCGGCGAAACGTTTACGTTACTTGCGATTTGAAAACAAAAGGAAATTTTTTCCAATAATAACCTAACATAAAATTATAATATTAGTGAAGTGTATGAGAATATACGTATTTTATTATGAACCCAACAAAAATGGTGAACAAGTTATCTAGATTTACTTTACAGACTATTAAGAATATATCATCAAGGGACAGATTTCAATTAAAATCTTTAAAAAGTTTTCAATCAGTCATCAGCACTAACGGCCCTTTTAGTACACATTCAAGCACCAACTTTTATTAGCCACTTGATAGATTTAATTGGGCTTGGGATTAATTTAAGTCCTTCTAGAAGGCAGTAAATTTTGTCATCACTTCCTTTTAAGTACGCATAGTTAAGGGAAAGAGTTCAAATTGATAGCTCAATTAAACTTACAACACCCTTCTTCGATTTTGTATATTAAACGAGTTTCAAAATTTAATCAAATATATAATAGTCGAAAAGAAAAAAAAAAAAAAAATGAGTGCTCTTTGCAGAGTTAAAGCTTTAGGTAGCTGAGGATAATACCTGACCTATCTTGATCATAAATTAAATATACTTAATCTAAAATATTTAATGAAAATTCAGCTATGGCCTTGAAGTTAACTGGTACTTTTTTGTTTTATGCACACACTAATCATATTTTTAGAGCAGTTTATTCTGAGGCTAACGACATGTTCAGCAAAAATTATTTTAGTACTAATCCTAATATTTTAGCTCAGAAACCGGTAAATACTTAAAAAAACTTTTTATTTATTATGTTATGGTTCAAAGCTAATGATTGATTGTTTATATATATATATATATATATATATATATATATATTTCAAATGCATATCTATTATATAAACATCCTTATATAATCGTTAGCCTCTTTGAGAGACAGATTGAGGTCTTAAATTCTTTTGCTGCTTATCTTTAATTTGAAAGACTCCTTGTCTTAGATTGATTTCTCAATGGAATGTTATAAAAAGACGTTTCGATCAAGAGAGGCGGTTGGCTCAGGCCCACCACTATATATATATATATATATATATAATATTATATATATATATATATATATATATATATATATATATGCTGAATATGCGTCAGGGCTCATCAAGCTCTCATAGTTTTCATTTTAAACCCTTCTATGAGATAAATATATCTATAAATTAGGATTAATTGAGAAATCCATTTTCTGAAATATCAGATTAGAAAAGATTACTCAATCCTAGAGATTACTCACAATTCTCTTAATCCTGCTATCGATTTGCAGCAATGACTAAGTGTTATCATGTTTGACATCTAGAATTAGTAAAACGCTTTCCTTTATAAGATTATGAGAAGCTTATTAAAATATTCAGATAAATGTTTTAGAAAACGATTTCATATCAGTTTTATCTTTTCGGCGTTATGTTCTAGCTCTAAAAGTATTACTGTTATTTGCATTTTAGATATAAAGTGTCCTTTTTTTGGAAATGAATATTTTTTAACAGACATCGCAATAAGCAGAGAATGCCCATCGATAGCCACTCTGTCAGTCTCCCCATATGCATTTATGCATTACCTAATGTGTTTAATATCAACATCAATCAAAAGTTATATGAAGTTTCAAAAGGAATTTATTTTGAGTAAAACATGATTTTTTTCCCCCCCGCTAGATTTGATTTATTTTCCATATTATGTGCGGATGTGAGATTTATGTGCGGCAGCAAGAAGGAAAACGAGAGACAAAATTGAGGTAACATACTAAATTGAGATCCACCGAAGTTCATTTTTCCGGTTGTTTTCGGTAATATACCAAACAGTTTTTCGGTTATAATTCGGCGTTTTTACGTAATAACATGTCATGAGAAGTGCTACTGTCTATCAAAAAATTATTAAAATCAACTGATTCTTTTTTTTTTTAATTTCCAAGACAAGGGGCTTGGACCCCGTCGATAATTGCGTTGAGCGGACAAAGAGGCTGGCCTATTTCCAAAACTCTTTAAAGGCGCCTTTAGAAGATGTCCAATATTTTATCAAGGATTATCCATTTTCCTCTGGTGGGGAAGGGGAGCGCTGAAGGGGTGGAAATCTTCCCCCCTTCGGAGAGAATAAATTGAGAAAATAAACCATACTTCTTCAAGAAATATTTTTTACACCCGGAAGGGATACATTCAGCACCACCATTTGATAAATTTATTCTAAGAAATAAATATTATAATAAAAAAAAATGGTTTAGTTAAGCGTAATATTTATATAAATAGATAAGTATTTAGATGGATTTTTAAGAATTAAAAATATATTTCTGCATAAATATTTTCTGTAAAATATTTAATTTTAACAAATACATAGGTACATACTAGAGCGAATAATATTGATTTATTTCTAATAATGTGGATTTTTCAACCACTTGCGGGCTATTTTAGTCCTTACACAATATAAATTTTTACACTTGAAACTTGAAGGAAGAAAACATTAAAAATTTACAAAAATAAATAAATCTTGTTACATAGTTGTATTTTAATAAAAAAACTGGTGTGTCCACTCACACGATTTTCCTACCTATTCCAGAAAATTTTTTATATCTTTACATATGTCCATCAAGAAACAAAAAAAAAATTGAATTAGATTAATCTTCCTGAAAATTTATCAAAGAAAAGATTTGAGTTCGATTTATTTGATAAACTAAAGCAATGTAAACCGGCTTAAGGTAGATCAGTGTACAAATTTCAATACCGTCTAATATTATTGATCAAAAACTTTTTTACATAGCCTAATTTTGTCAAACAATAATTTCTGTTAAAAGTAGAGGTAATAGTGGAGCTTGTGTGATGCAGGCAACAGATTTTCTTACTTTCACTAAGTTATATTTGTTCTCTCATTCATCCTTTTCTGACACTAGGATATGTACCCGTAATCTTACATTGGAAATTGAATA